GGGGCGGCGGGACTGGGACCCTGAGCCCCCGCCCCTCCCCACCAGCGGGACCCTCCACTAACCCAGCGCACTCTCGCACTCTCGCACTCTGGGGACACTGGGCGCCTTCTGCTGGAGGGGCTGCGCCAGGGCAACTAGGGATGGGGAGCTCAGGGCTGCAGGATGCTTACGGTTCCTGAGGCAGAAATCTCTCCTTCTCCTGAGGGGGTGGGGGTGGAAAGCCTTGGTCATTTCCCAGCTGGGACAGGATTGAGGAGGAGGTGGAGTGTGTCTCCAGTCCCAAAGTCTTAGGGGCTGGAAGGTGGGCAAGGGACCTGGCTGGCCCTGACTCCCGGCTTTGTTTCTCTGTCTCAGACTTTCCACCTGCAAGATGGTGAGTCTCCTGTGGTCCCTCCACTAAAGGTCCAAGTCCCTGGGCAAAGGGAGGGCCCAGAAGGCAATGACTGGCATCCAGGGGCTTAACCCTGTGTGTGGAAGGCTCAGAGCTGTAACTAGCCCCAACCCCTTGATCCCAGTCTATGTGCCACATCCTCCTCTGTCCCCATCAACCCTGGGAAATGGGCACCATCAGCCCCTTGACAGTCATTCCACACTTGTTGAGCACCAGCCGTGCACCCAGCACCATTCTATGCTTGGGGACACACAGTGAGTCCACAGTCCTGGCCATCAGGAAACTCTCCTGCTAAGAGGGAGTACTGAGGCCCAGACCTCTTAGGTCCACCAAGTGGTTCTCCAAATCCCTGGCCTCACAGGCACCCCAAGAATGGGACAGAACAGGCACCAGACACTCTCCAGGCCCCACCCGTGTCACATTGAGGCACCCAGTGGTCCCATGTGGGAGTAAGCCAGCCTCTGAGAGGGCAGGAGTATAGGATTTCCTGCAGTGCCAGGACTCCAGGCACCTAGAAGGAAGGCACCAGCCTTCTCCTCCAATGCCTCAACCAGGGCTGGTGCACGGCGGGTCTTCAGTGCCTACCTGAGGATAATTAAAGACATTCACTTACAAACTTAGGTGGCAGCAAACTCCGTGTTGGCAGATGGGTCACTGAACCCAGAGACAAATGAATGCCTGTAAGTGGTTGCTAGGCTCCTTTGTCACTTCTTCAGTAAGCAAACATTTATGGAGGAGTTACTGTATGTTAGACGCCGTTTGGAGTCCTGGGCTTGCCTCCATGAACAAAACAGAGAAAAAGCTCTGCCGCTGTGAACCAAGCTAGGGGAGACCTTGTGCAGGATGGTAATCACTGATCCAGCCAGCAGGCCTTTGGTTCCTGCTCTCCTACTCCAGGGACCACACATAACAGTTTACAAAGCACTCCTTCCACATTTTCCCCGGGCCTTCACCCTCAGCCGGATTCCTTCCCGTCCTGGGCCCTTGAACATTACCCATGCCAGGGTAGGAGCTCATTGTTGGGTGACTTAATGTACTACCCTGCCCACATCTTACTCCTGCCCATCTCAGCTCTCTCTGGATCCACTGGGTCCCGAGTGGGACTGCCCCCTGGGATCCAAGGACCTGGATGGAGAGGAGGGCCCATGGAGAGGGGGCTCTGGCCTGCCCCCCATCAGCTGCTTCCCTGGCTCCTGGTACCAGGATGTGGGCCTGGACTGCAAGGGCTCCCCTGAGGGGGCTGAGGCCCGGGCCTGGACTGCCTACTACTACAGCCTCCTGCAGAGCTGTCTGCAGCAAGCTGGGCTTCCAGAGACTCAGGACCGAAGCCAGGTCCCCCACACAGGTGCTTAAGGGCTCCACGGAATGGGGTATCCCTGGGGGGCAGGGATGGGTCCTCAGTCCAGTTGTTCCCCATCCTTGCTGAGGTTGGTCCCTTCCCCTGGCCCTGGTTCCATCTGAAGACAGAGAGGCAAAGGACATTTTGGCACCAATGAAGTCAGAGGTCAGGGCTCTCCACTCCCCCTGACCCCCACTCTGCCTTGGAGTTTGCACACTATGTTCTGTGAAGCCAAAGCTTCTAAAGAAATATCTTAGGAGAGGCTGAGGAGGCAACTGAACACTGTGACCCAAAAATTCCTCTCTTACTTTATCTGTTTATTGTGTAGCCACAAATGATTTTGTGTGGACAGTGGGTTTGCACCTAGAATATATGAAAAGCAGAGACTTGCTTCCACAGTACAGACTGGGAAACAAGCTCACAGAAAGTGGCCCTTCCAAGGTCACAGAGAATTCAGACCTCAGGCTAGACCCAGGTCTCCATCACTCAGCCTGAAGTGTCCTCTGGACCAGCTGCAGAGAAAGGGAGCCAGCTTCATGGGGCTAAGAAGGCTGACAGCTCCCCGTCTCCTGTACTCTTTCATCCGATCCATGAGAAGGACCTGGGGGCCCAATGGTGGCAGGGGTTGGTTGGAGGTCATGGGCAGAGAAGCAGCAAGGGGAGCCCCTGGTGAGTTTGGCAATGTCTCTTCCCTCGAGGTTGCCCTGGTGCCGAGGTGACCTTGTGCATTCTGGGATCACCCAGCACCTTTCTGTCTGTGCTGCTGGAGGGTGGGGTCCAGAGCCCCGGTGAGTGTGTGCACAAGTTTCTTACCCTGTCACAGAAAGGGCAGCCCCGCCCTGGCCCAGCCACATCCCAAAATACCCACCAGCCTTGGCAACTGCCTGCATTCCATGGGACCAGCTGCCACACTCTGAGTAGGGGTGGGTTCTGGGAAGAACTCTCTCCCCCACGGCACAAGGGCCGGGCTGGAAGTGTTGGGCGTTGGGGACATAAGCCTTCCCTGGCCAGCCACCTGCCCCCCTCTGCCTACAGGAAACATGCTCCTCTGCCTGTCCCCTGCTTGGCTGACGAAGGTGCCAGCACCAGGGCAGTTGGGTGAGGCGGCCCTGCTGGTCTCCAAGGCTGTGAGCTTTCACCCAGGGGGCCTGACATTCCTGGATGACTTTGTGCCCCCACGACGTGCTACCTACTTCCTGGCGGGCCTGGGGCTGGGCCCTGGCCGGGGCCGGGAGGCAGCGGAGCTGGCCCGAAACCTGACTTGCCCTACAGGAGCCTCAGCGGAGCTGGCCCGGCTGCTGGAGGACCGGCTGCTGATGAGGCAGCTGCTGTCGCAGCAGGGCCAAGTGGCCATACCAGCTACTCTGGCTTTCACCTACAAGCCTCCAGGGCTACTGCGGGGAGGGGATGCCAGCCCGGGACTACGGCTGGTGGAGCTGAGTGGCAAAGAGGGCCAGGAAACACTGGTGAAAGAGGAAGTAGGGGCCTTTCTGCATTCCGAGGCTCTAGGTGATGCCCTGCAGGTAACAGGTCCCTGCCCACCCTGAGGTCTATGCAAATGTCAGCAGGAGGGGACCCCTGATTGGTTCCCAAGTCCTGATGGGAAGCTGTCCCCAACTTTTAGCCTTGCCACTGCCCCAGAGATGGGGGAATGCCCTGCCCCTCTTAGTTCAGTTTACTCTTTGGCATAGTGGCATGAACATCTCACCTTGTAGGTTCATGAGGTAGTGTCAAGGAGGCCCTTTTCCCCTTCCTGCTGTAGGTGGTGGTGAAACTCAGTGGCTGGCGCTGGAGGGGACGGCAGGCTTTGAGTCTGCACCCACGAGTGGAGCTGGGTGCTGTGGTAGACACAGTGCTGGCATTGCTGGAGAAGCTGGAGGAAGAGGAGAGTGTCCTGGTGGAGGCCATGTGTCCACCTGCCCAGTTGCCCTTCCCAGGTGAGAGCCACCTGTGCCAGCTAGGGTGGGAGTATGGCATAGCCTCCTGGACTCTCAGCTGGATTTAGACCTCCCCATCTTCACCCAGGAAGTCCCTCACCCAGCCCTGAGATGGCTGTGCGTATCTGTGCTGTGGTGTGTCGCACTCAGGGTGACAGGCCCTTACTGAGCAAGGTAAGCAAGGCCCAGATCCAGGTAACCCTGCCCCTCGCACCCAAGCCCAGCCACTGATCTGATGAGGGCCCTGCCCAGTCCCTGGGTAGATAGGACAACATCTTTGGGGGATTTTGGTTACCAGTGGAGAGCCTCCTGGGTCTGACACTTAACTCTCTTGAGCCCCTCCTGCAACAGAGCCCCTGCCCCTGTATTTAGCCCCATGCTGGGTACGAGGGTCCAAGGGGCTGTTTTCTAAGAGAGCTCCTGTCCACAGAAGAGGCTGACCCAGGGATTCTTATAAACCTCCCAGCCTGGAGCTCTGATGTGTGTGTGTTGGGGGGGTACTCCAAACTGGAGACTCACAGCTTGGGGTATTCTCTGGGTACCCAACTCTGGGTCAAGCTGAGAGGGAAGCATTCAGCTAAACCATCAGGGCTCCAGTGGAGAGGCTTCCCGGGAGATATGCTAGGTCTGGGACACACCAGGGTGGCTGCAGGAGCTTGAGCAAGTATGTTTGGTGTGCTCAGGGAGTTGGGACTCCAGCTGAGCCTCTGTGGGGTTAGGGTCAGGGTCCAGATGGCAGTATCTGGAGAGCGATTTGTGCAGTCTAAGTCACAGTGGAGAATGGAGCTTCCTGAACGACCCGTGAGGGGACTCGCCTGGTTCTTGGGAGGTGCTTGCGGCAGGGAGACTTTAAGGAAGTAGTCCTGGGAGGGGTGCTCCTGAGCCATCTCCCCCAGCCGCAACCTGCCTAGGTGGTGTGCAGCGTCGGTCGTGGGGATCGGCCCCTGCGGCACCAGAACTCCCTGCCCAGGACGCTGGAGG